GTCTGTACCTTTGATAGCCAAGAAACCATTCATGACTCCAGTGTCATTGTTTTTTCTCTATGACTTCTAAGAGTTTAATAGTTTGGGTCTTAAATTTAGGTCTTTAATCTCCTTGAGTTAATTTTTGTGTATGGTGCAAGAAAAGGGTCCAACTTCATTCTTTTGTCTATGGATATTGAGTTTTTCAAGCACCGTTTCTCGATGTCATTTCTCCATTTAGTTGTCTACTATGCTTTTGGGGTTTTTTTTTACAAGCAATATAAGCAGTGTTTTATACTTTGAAGTTTTATGTGCTTTACACAAAGCAATAGGAAGACATAAAATTACACACAGATAATATATCTACAAATCATTAAATTGTGGAATGAAACCTTCTGTTGAGCAAATAGATGTTAGCACCCTTTTTGAAAATCAGATATGTTGAATTTTCTTTCTGGACTGTGTTTTATTGCATGGCTGATACGGCTTTTTATGCTAGTACCATATTGATTTAATTATTCCAGCTTTATAGCATGTTTTGTAATAGGCAGTATGGTGACTTCAACTTTGTTGTAGTACGTTAAATTATTTTGGCTATTCAGAGTTCCTTGTGAGTCCATTCAATTTTAGGATGAATTTTTCTGTGGCTACTACCATTGAGATTTCGATCGGCATTCTGTTGAATCTGTAAATTTCTTTGGGTAATATGGATATCTTAATTCTTCAAATTCATGGACACAATATGTATTTCCAATTGTTTGTTTAGTTTCTAGTTTCTTTCAGAATTTTTTGTAGCTCTCATTATATACGTCTTTGAGCTCTTTGGTTAGCTTTATTTCTAAGTATTTTTAATTTTGGATTCTATTGTACATGGGATTATTTTCTTAATTTCCTTTTCAAATATATTATTGGTTTTATACACAATTTGTACACCAAATTTTCACAGAATTCGACTTGTAAGTTGTAATATACTTAAAAATAATTAACTCTCGCATAGGAACTAACTTTTGTGTGTTGATTTCTATATTCTAACTATTAGATTTATTAATTCTAGTAGGTTTTTTAGTGGAAACCTAGGACTTTCTAAACATAAGATCACGTCATCTGCTGAAAGAGATGACTTATTTTGTTGCCATTTCCTATTAATAATCTCCTATTACTTTTCTTGCCTAATTGCTGGATCTTTTCTAAGAGAAATAACTCTAGAGATTTAGACCGTGAGGATAATTTTGTGATTTACCCTTTGAAGGCAAGAGAAAGCGACTGAAAGGTTTTAAAAAGACAAGACAATCATGTGTGTACTTTTAAAATAAAACTAGTGATTCTTAATGGAGAAATGTTAGAGTTGATAGAGAAAAATAGCACACCACTGCAGGGTGTGGTCTGAGTGATTTGGGCTGAAGGATCAGGTTGTGGTGGTAAGAGATGGAAGTGGAGAAAAGGCAAATAAAATCAAATGTTTAAAATGACAGAACTAGCTAATCCAGTGGTGGTGAGCCTGTAGCACACATGCCACAGTGGGCTTTGTTTTCATTAAAAGATTCACCAATCACTGACCTAATGGATTGCATGTATGGGTAACCTGTAAGAAGAAAACATTTTTAACACCAACTCTTAAGTTTGTAGCTTAAGCACAACTGAATAGATGACCTGGAAGTTACATAAACTGTGGTGTGGAGATTTTTGTATACTTATGAAATTCTTCTGAAACATCAAGTTAGAAATGATGCAAAACCATCTTAAAGTTAATTATCTTTAATGTAGAAACTAATACTTTCTTATTCAGTATTATTAAAGTGGCATTTTATAGAAAGAGTTATTTTTACTTTCTCAAACTGGCAGATGGTCATGTACTTCATTGTTACTTTACTTTTATTGATAGTGTCATCTGCCTATACTGATAGGTGGTGGTTAAATTTCATGCATCTTTATTGATATATATCAATTATTGATATCAATATATCAAATATTAATATTTCAAATATATTGATATAAGGCACCTTTATTGATAGTATCATCTACCTTTATTAATAGTAGGTGGTTGTTTCATGCATCTTTATTGATATAATGTATATCAATTATTGATATATATCAAATATCAATATCAATATATCAAATATATTGATATAATATAAGGCACCTTTATTGATAGTATCATCTACCTTTATTGATAATAGGTGGTTAAATTTAATGCCAACTACTCAGATGACATAAAACTTCTTAAATCTGACAAACAGTAAAGCAAATAGTTCTTTTATAAGGAAGAATAACCTAGATTATAGTGTGTACGATGCAGTGGAATGAGAAGAAAGTCAGTGAAAGAGAAATGGACATAAGGGAGGAAGTGGGAGGTGTGAGCTTTCAGTGGGCTTAATTAGAGTGTATCTTAGTTTTCTTTTGATTCATGAGTTTCAGAATATAAGGAAAAAGACAAAAAGAATATATAATTACCAACTAAAGGTTAGTTTTACATCACAACTCTTTATTACTATAAAGTATCATTCTACCCAGAAGTGGAGACAGTAATCAAATACGTTTTTCTGGTCCCTCTTTGTATAAAGATAGAAGTCATAAATCCATTATTCTACTCCTGGTTCTATCATGAGGTGGCTGTATAACTTTAGGAAATCACTTTTGTATAAACCTCAGTTTATTCATCTCCCAAATGATGGAGCTGGACAAAATCATCTATGAAGTCCTTTCTGTGTAATCCATATTTCTTTGAGATCTGATATGCCATAAGTGGTAATGACTTCCTGACATTAAAAACAAATATACCTATGGTTTTGAAGCTTTTTATATCAATATATATTCTTTTAGTACGGTGATTTAGTTCAGACATTTGCAGTTTGTCATTCCAACTTACGTGCTGCTATTGAGACTTTTAGGACTGTTCAGGATGCCTTTTAGAAGTGCCATCATTTTGTTAGATATTTTCTGCCTTTAAAATTTATTTGCCAGATTCTACTAGTTATGAGTTGTAAAAATATTAAAATAATTCTTTTTGTGATAATTGTTTCCTGAGAAACTTAGTAAAGTAAATCTTTTTTTCTAATGTCAACTACTTATTTATTGTCAAAATTGTCTTACTTTATTTCTCTTAAATCTTCGACTTAAAATCTTCCCAGATTTTGCTTTGGTAGTAAACGAGACTATGAAAACTTACTTGCAGTATTAATTTTCTACATTGCTCAGATGTTTGTCACTATAACCAAATACCTAAAAAAAGTTAACTTAGAGGAAGAAAGGTTTATTTTGCCTGTTTCAGAGACTTCAGTCTATGGCCAGCTGACTCTAAGGCACAAAAATCATAGTGGAGAGCATTATAAAAAGAGAACTGCTCACTTTATGGCAGCCAAGATGCAAAGAGAGAGGGAAATGGCCCAGAAAAGATAATACCCCTCAAAGGTCCACCCCCAGGAACCATTTCCTCCAGCTAGGCCCTGCTTCCTATTAGTACATTCTGCTGTGAACTAATTCATCAATGGGTTAGTGCATCCCCTTAAACCCATCACCTTGAGGTACCCCTTAATCCAGGCAAGATGAGATCCAGATTCACCATTACATAATCCTGAATTAGGGTCATGTGATATTTAAAAAAACAGTGCCATTTATCTTACTAAGATAGAGGTATCAGAAATGTATGCATTGGGGCTGCGGGTTTAGCTCAGCAGCATAAGTGCCTGCCTTGCAAGCAGGCGGTCGTGAGTTCGATCCCCGGTACTGATAAAAAATGAAAAAGACCAAAAAAAAAAAAAAAAAGAAAGAAAGAAATCTATGCATTTATTTGTGTATGTTGTCTTTAGAATTTTTTTGTTAGGTTTAGTCTAAAGAACAAAACAGTAGGTATAGAGGCCTAGCCTTCAACAAAAGGATAAAATTTGGGATCCTGTGTCATATCATCTGCAGATTCATGATTTTCATACTGAAAAGCTACAGTCATGGTACTTGATAGAAAATCTTTTCATGCTAATATTGAATGCAGTTAGATGTAAAAATAAAAGTGCTAGAAAGGAGCCTAGGATATTTAAAGAAAGAAAGAGCTTTTCTCATTTTTCATCTTCTAACCCATAAAGTATTAGATGTATCTTCTAGTCTGTTTACAATTAAGGAAAGTAATGTTATATTTTATTTCTAAAAGTTTTTCACAGGTTACAGAATAATTATCAACAAATAAATGTTTAAACATGATTTGCATCCTGATAAAGAAAACTTAAGGAAAAGCTTAAATTTGAAATTGTTAAAGCTTAAAGTTAGAATTGTTAAAATTTGAATTTTTTTCATAAATACCCATAATAAAAATTAATTCCTGTTTGTAGATGACCAGAAAAATACTAGGAAATTCACAGATTTGAATAGACTAGAAATTTATTGTGCTTAACTATCTCTTAGCATATATTGAGATTTTTTTTAATGGTGTTTTAAAATAATAACACAACCGCCACAGTTTTAAGGAATTTGTCCTTTGGCATACTTTTTCCCTGTTTTTATTTTTCTGTAGCTATTTTAACGCATTCTAAAACATCTACTTAAAAGAAAATCTTTGTGAAACTAAGAATTCATCATTTATATTGAACACAAGATATTAGTTGAATTTCTTTATCTAGAATACCCATAAATCCTTTATGGTTGCCCATATGATTTTGTAATGCCATGGCATTACAAACATTAGGGTGCTGACCCATATTATTCACAAATAACTGATATAGGAAGGATTTAGTATCATTTTCAATAGCTATTAGAATTTAATACTTATTTTTATTTCAGAATTATTTTTATCAAGTAGTTTATTGACCTCATTTCACATAATACTTTTAAGTGGCAAACATTCATCACACCTTTAAAAAGTTAGCAGTATACCTCTTCTTATAGGTTAATATTTTATGGTAGCCTTATTGAAAATAATGGAAAATGAAAAAAGTGTTTAGCTCCTGTGTTTAAAAAAAAATTCCTATAAGTATTTGTATTGCAAATGAATTATTACCTAATGTTAATAATCTATTGTGTCTTGTTTTTTAAAGTGAATGAATTTTTAGCTTTTGAGGGTCCCATCTTGTTGGATATGAGAATTAAACATCTAATCAAAACAAATCAGTTAAGTCAAGCAACTGCTCTAGCAAAGCTGTGTTCTGATCATCCAGAGATTGGTACAAAAGGTAGTTTTAAGCAAACTTACCTTGTCTGTCTTTGCACGTCATCACCAAATGAGAAGTTGATTGAAGAGGTAAGTATAATTCTTTGTTAGTAATTTTTTTAATGGAGAGATTAATTTTAATTAGAATGTTTTTGAGTTCTCTTTCTTGTAAATACTTAAAGGACTGTTGTCAATCGTAGTTTTGACGTTCTCCTGGGTGGTGGTAACTTGATTCTAAAGAGCTTTCAGAATTATGTATAAACTGATTGTATTTGGCTTCCACTTTTTAAAAATGTGATCTTCTAAACATTTTGATTAAAGGTAAAGATGTTGATGGCCTAACAGGTTAGTGTAGAATATTTATGTTTGACATTATTTTGGCCATAACTTGAGATTTATCTGGTTGCAAAATACTTTAAAATCTTTTTAACTAAGTTGTCACCAAGCTCACCCCATTATATCTGCTCCATAATGCCCAAGTTATTAGCCCTTTCAGTAGAGATATGCTTGGCATATGTGTCTTAGTCTCTCTCCTCCTGTCTCTTTTGTTCATTTATTTTTGCCTGATTCTTGTTAAGCATTTGAGTTTTTAACCTATTCCTTAGAGGGTAATGGGAATAGACATAGCCATGGCCTGGATTGATGGTCTTTGTGAGAAATCCTTGTCCAAGTGAGCCAGTAGGCAAGGAAAACAGCAGCTATACCTAAATTCAGAGGAATGGCAGTAGGAGAAATGAGTGATCATCGGGCATCTTTGGAAGGAATGAGCTTTGGCTTGGATTCTTGATATAGGTTGGTTGGCAGTGTTTATTTTAGATCTAGTGTTTTTGCTTTATCTTTAAAACAAACTTTCTTATCTCTAATCATCACTTTCTTATTTAATACTTTCTGAGGTAATACAGTAATTAAGTCTGAAATTCGATATACAAGATTTCTTACATTTTTTGTGCATATGCACATACTTTTCTGTATTAAAAACTACATGAACACACCCTGACTGTTAGTCACTTTCCTCTCATTGACATCTTTTCCTTTCATTCCATATAGATCAACCTCATTTTTTTCCCCCATGGCTGGATAATTGCATAGTGTGGATTTGTAGTTATTTTTAACCAGACTGATAGACACTTAGATCGTTATCTTGTACAATGCGTCCTTGTCTCTTTGCTGGTAGATACGAGTAGAATACATTTCTGGAAGTGGAATTGCTAAGTCAAAAAACCTATAATGTATGGATAACATTAGATTATATGCTTCCAAAAATAATGTATGAAATTTCTTCTAACACTAGAAATTATTAGTCATTTGAAATATTTGCTAATCTGTGTTAATTAATAGCTTATTGCTTCACTTATACAATTTCTTAGTAATGATAAATATCAGTTAAGTACTTTTCTATATGAAAAGCACTTCTGTTTTGATAAATGAATCTCAGTCTCAAAACTATTCTTGAAGTGATTAGAACATATACATTTTAGTGATTAGAACCAGTGCATTTAAAAGTACACTTTGTAAACATACAACATAGTCAGTATTTTATGCCTTTGAGTATTGATTTAAAGAGCCGTATTAAAACCTAAAAAATATTGTTTGCACCTTTGATTTTTCTGCTTTAAAAGGAATTCAGCAGACTAGTTCTTCAACTGATTAATCATTCCACTTTGTTTGTTTGTTTGTTTATTGGTACTGGGAATCAAACTCAGGATCTTGTGCTTGCCAGGTAGGCACTTGTGTCGCTGAGCTATATCCCCTACCCTGGTTTTAAATATTTTGTTCAGAGTTGTACATTTCCTGGTATTTAAATTTTGCTCACTTTTCGAAACTATAGAGAATAGATAGTTCCTTCCTGGTAATATTCTGATTAATTCTGAATTATGCTGGCCATAGATTTTTAAAATAATTTTTGTTTACTGATAGCTGTGTCTCACTTTTCATAATTTTTAATCCAGTTATTAACTTAAATACGGCTTTATTGTTTCTGCCATTGACTTTATCACGTTTTTCCTAAAGAGCCATCTCATGGCAGATTAGGAAATGAAAGATTTCAAATGCACTCTGAGAATTATTTTGTTAGTATGTCTGCAAAAGAGGTTTTCTTATATTTGAATGTAGCAGATATTTTAGTTGTTATATATATAGATGTAGATAAATATAGATACTGGTAAAGGATCACCCATTGCAGTGAAATACGTATTTTTCAATATTAAAGGTAGTAAGCTAATAAGGGTATTTCATTGAGGAAATGTCTTTCCTTGTAGATAATACATACATTTAGAATCATGTGGGCATGCTACAGGATGGCTCAGATTTTAAAAGAACAAGAAAAATTTTCATTCAAAGTAAATCTCACCTTCAAATAAATAAGCATATATCCATAATTAGCAATATAGAGCCATGATATGCTTGTGCATATGGAATTCTGGAAATGGTATGGACTAAGTAATCCTGTGCTGAAATTTTTAATGCTGCCACTGTGTATCTTTCAAATAATTCAACCTCTCTGGGCCTTTTTCTAAGAAGTATAACTTCTTAGAAAATCAAAAACTAATCTAAACTAATCAAAAACTTTCAAATGAAAAATGTTCTGAAATCTCTTTAATTTTTTATACACTAGTATAACTCCAAAGCCGTACCTGGCTTTATGAGTCGTAGTCAAAACCCAAATACGAAAAATATTATATAAAATTATTGTCAGGCGGTGCATATAAGATGTATATGACAATAAAGAAATTTTGATCCCTGTCACAAGATATTATGTATAAGCAAAAATTCCAGAATCCAAAATCTAGAACACTTCTGGTCTCAAGTAGTTTGAATAAGGCACATTCAACCTATATTAGTACCTAACTGGCAAGCTTCGTGTAGATTGACAATACCATTTTTGAAGAAGCTGATAATAATAGTAGCTGTTGTTACTGTTATTAACATTTTATGAAAAACTTGAAAAATCTGATGGGTTGACTGTATCTGTATGTATGTGTGGTTCAAGGTAATTGTTTAAATTTAATACAGTTTCTAATAAAGATGATGTGATGAAGTAGCAAGAGTGTTGATTTTTGTTAGGCAAATTAATTTGTGGCTCAAGCATTTAAACTGTTGCAGGTTGAACACATAACATAACTGTTTTGAATCCCATATTCCTAATATATAAAATGTTAACAATTCCTAGTGAAAAATCTTTGATGAAATAATAATATGCATAAAATATTTAGCAATATGTTTAACATATTGTAGATACTATTAAAATATCGTATAAATATACCCTCTTAATTCTCAGTACTGCATATTGAATCTAGGACCTCTACACTGAAGTGTATCCTCAGGTCTTCATTGCAGTTCATTTTGAGATAAGGGCACATTGAGTTACTAAGTTGCCCAGTCTGTACTCCCAATTTGTGATCCTCCTGCCTCATCTTCCAGAGTGCTAGGATCACAGGTGTGCCACAGTGTCTGGCTCTGCCCATTTTTTTTTGTTTAAATAAAATTACTTCTAGAAAACAGTGTATTAGAAAGTGGCTGACAGGAGTAGTGAAAAGAGCACTGTACCAAGATGAACCAACTTTGCCACTAACTTCATGCTTCCTTTAAGAAATCAGTGATAATAATTACATAGACAGAGTTAGGTATCTTTTTTGATTTGGTGTTTTCTGGCCCACTTTCATTTAAAAAAATATAGAACCTCTGAATCTGTTGTCATACAGTTTTTATCTTTTTTATCAAAGGTTGACCTAAGATTATCCCCATCACCCATTTAGACATCTGTTCAATTTAAACACATTACATTTTACAAATACATTTTTGTTTACCTAGTATTTGATAGGTGAGAAAATCAACTAGAAAGGATTAGGTGCTAATGTCAGTGTTTGGTGTTCGGTTCTTTTTGCCATCTGTCAATTGTACTATGCTGGAATTAAGCCTTCTGTCTGGAACACAGATGCTTTGTGATTGTATGCTCTGTAACTCATCCCTTGTCTTATACCATATGTTTACAAAGGTTGTAGGTTATTCTCTTTGTCTTAAATAATATGTTATTAAAATGAGTTAGTATTAATTTTATAGAAAGTTGTGAGGATATCATTAAATGAACCAAGTTGCCTTCATCTAGGTTATATGTACACATGTATGGCTGTTAGCCAGTTTAGAATAAATTTATATGAAAAACAAAATAGTAAAGACTCATGGAAAATTGAAGTTAGCTTATTTTAAGTGACATAGCAATTTAAAGTGTATTTCTTCCCTTCAGTGAACAGATACATAGTTTATTAGTCTAAAATCAGAATCTAACTTTCTGATTCTATTCCATTTAAATCACTTAAATCAGTGGGTAGGCAGAATAAAAGTATTACTGCTTTGATTCTTTTTTTATTATCAATTATTTAATGAATAAAGGATACTTAACATTATTTGCTTAACACATGATTTCTTGAGAATGATTGATTTCCCTATGTTTAATATTCTCTCAGAATTACTGTTAATATTTACTAGCTATGAATATATTTTTAAGTACAGCTCAGTCTTTGTTCCAGTAATGACCAGTTTTGATGTGATAGTTTGTCAGACATTTACTGATGAAAATTATCTATACATATCTAATGAAAAATTTGAAGTATATACTATAAGTATATTCTAATATAAAGCCATATTATAGAATATTTCTGTTTTCTCTAGATTTCAGAAGTTGATTGCAAAGATGCACTAGAAATGATCTGTAACTTAGAATCTGAAGGCGATGAAAAAAATGCTCTTGTTTTATGTACTGCATTTTTATCACGTCAGCTCCAACAAGGAGATATGTACTGTGCTTGGTGAGTTGATTTTTGTTTCTTAGAGGAAAATTTGTTAAGTCAGAATACAAAATAAGGTTTTGGTGATTTTGATAGCTTAGTATTTTTTATATATACTTGAGTCTTGGAAAGACCAAAAAAAGCTGATTTTCAGATATTATGTGCTATACAAATTGATTGTCAAGTAGTACACATTGAAATTTTAAAACTTTTTGAATTAATGACCACACAGTTACTTAGCAAGCATACTTGATGGCTATCTGATCAGCAAAGTTTTAAATGTTAGAAGATGAAAGAAAAGTTTATTTTGTGTAATGCCACCACAAAACTTTTTCAGTTGTGTAACCTACCTGTGATTTGATGTGTATGTTTTTTTCCGCTGCATATTTTTAGCTACTTGACTGCCTGCTATTACTTACATGGACCTGTAGTTCATTTCCTTCCTTTCAAAAATCATTCTATCTCCCTAACTTCTTCAGGCTTTTCCTTCAGCATGCTTCTTTGTATATGACACATTTCCCAAGTGGGCCAAACTTCTTACATTCATAATCTTTTGAGACACTAAAAGTAACAGAAATGTTGACTTCAGTTAATTAAAAAAAAAAAAAAAAAAAAAACCTGCTGCCTTAGATTTGTGTTAGCCAAGACTGCAATTTGTATGGGCAGTCAGAAGCATTCTTCGTTTATAGTGTTGCATTGGTATTACAGAAACAGAAAAGAAAATTGGGTTTATAACATGCTGACATTTAAGACTATATACCAAGTGATACATGACAAACAAATGAATATAGAATAGACAAACAACTGTGTAATAAAAAATTAATGTAACAGTTACCAAGATTTTCTGAACAGCTCAACTTTGTTATGAAGGGAAAATTATTCATGCAGTATAGATTGTTATAAAAGGCAAGTAGGAAGATTCTGAAAAGGAAAATAAGACGTATTTATCAAAAACAAGTAGATTTTCTAGATCAAATACAGAACACGAAATTCAGCTGTACTCACTAAATCAATGTATTATATTAGTTTAAAAATTTTAAATTCTGTGTGATGAGCAAAAGAAAAAAGAACAGTATAGAAGTATATAATGAACAATTTCTAGCAGTTGAGAATTGGTGGAAGAATAGTGAAGGTAGATAGGACATAGGAAATGGCAGTACAGCGTGAGAAGAGTCAGGTATCAAGCCTGTGAATAGTGTGGGTAGGAAGTGTCAAAAGCTTCTTTGTGGATGTGACATGAAGTGAAAGAAATGCCAGAGATAACACTAGAGGATGCTAACAAGCGTAGTCTAATAGGTCAGCAGTGATGCATTAGTAGCGTGGCCAACTGGAAAAAGAATGACAGGCATTCTTTTCATGTACTGTATAGCCACATTTGCTCAAAGACAGGTGCTTTCTGAAGAAAGCATGGTTAGAGGTAATTTCTTCATTATGTGAATATCATAGTATATACCTTTATTAACTAAAGGGGTATAATGGGATGACATCACTAGGCTATATAATCTTATGAAACCACTGTCCTATGTGTGGTATATAGTTGATAGAGACATCATAGAATGTATGACTGTACACTAGGTTCAGAAGAGATCAAACTAGAGAATTCTTATAAACAGTTTAGTTTCAAGCAACAAACACCGGAGAAGCATTTTTTTTCAAACTTTATTCATCTATTTAGTAGTACTGGGGATTGAACCCAGGACTTTCGTGCTAAAGTATAGCCTCAGCTCATTTTAATTTTTCATTCTGAGATGGGATCTTGCTCATTGCTAAATTGCCCATCCTGGGCTGGAAATTAGGGTCCTCTTCCCTTCATACCCTTGAGTCTAGAATCATACTGTCACACCTAGTCAGAAACAGATTTTGAAGTCCACATTATGCATGTTAAATTTTAAGGAAATGATAAAAATTACAGTGGTACCTCAGAGGTTCATGAACACTTTTGTTTGAAAACAGTTTCATTCAGAAACATTTGGCAAAATTTGTTTTTGTTTGCAGGCTGCATTGGACAACAAACGCAAACATGGCCATCTTTTCCAAAACTGTAGAACAAGTTAAGTTCATGAATTTGAGGTCCAGTACCACTATATCCAAGTAGATAGTGAAAAGGACGGAGTTCCTAGGAGTAGAAACTGAGGGAAATTAATATGAAAGGCCTGTATTGAGCACAAAACTTGAGGAAAACATTGAAGCAAGGTAGTATTTTGTGAAAATTAAGAACAGAAGAGAAATAGAATAAGCATAAGAGTGACAGTGATCATTTTAGCCAGATTATTTTCTATGAAAATGCAGTGTTATCACTGCATTTGAAATAAATTTCATTTACTTTTATTTTTCACAACAGAGTTTTATTATTTAGCAGCTAAGGCACAGATTGGTTTTTTCCTTGTGGGTTCTGTGTTGTCGTTGTTTTTGTTTTTCATTTTATTGGGTTTTTTTGGTTTATGAGGGTAGGGATTGAACCCACTGCCATGCAAGTGCTCCACACTGAGCTGAACCTCTGGCTCTCTCGTAACTGGTTCTTCTATCTTTATTCATCTGATAACAATGATATTGTTGCTTGGCTTTGAGTTTGTTAGAAGATTAAATGATACTCTTTTTTTTTTTTCTCCACAATTGTAGATAGATCCCAGAACCTCATGTCTATTCAACAGTGTCTTTACCACCGAGCTACACCCCCAATCCTACATAAATGCTTTTTAAAAAAGATTTTATCACTGAACATGTATATAAAGGCACATATTTTGTGTTTTTATGTCACCATAATTAAAAGTACATGTTACCATTTTATAACCAGCTTAAACATTAAGTTCCTAACAAAAGGTGATGTTACTCTGAAATTAAAAAATATTGAAACTTATATCTTGATTTTACTTTATCTTTAAAAAATCGAGAGGGACCTGTTGCATTTAAATTAAATTCCACATATAGAATTGAAGCCTGAAGGTAGTTTTAATTTCAGTTGTAATGACTGGACTGCCAGAGTCCATGAGTATGACATTACTACTCCAACTTATCTTTTAAACCTTTTTTTTTTTTTTAAAGGGAACTTACTCTATTTTGGAGTAAATTACAGCAAAGGGTAGAACCATCTGTACAAGTGTACCTAGAGAGGTGCCGGCAACTTTCTTTGTTAACGAAGACTGTATATCATATTTTCTTCCTGATTAAAGTTATTAATTCAGAGGTAAGACTCAAGATATCTTTTCTTAATTTAAAATGCATAAATCATCTTTTAAAAAAGGCCTTTTATTACTATTTTGGCACTTCTTTCAGTAATTATTCTTTCATTGAATGCTTTAGACATTGATTTTATTATTCCTCTAAAACATTTGAGTCAGAAAAATTTAACAGTGCAGTTGAGAACAGAGGGTCTGTTTATAGCCTATAGGAAAGTATCTGCATTTTTTCACTTCAGTTTTACTCCTGGGTGTTATAAGTCTTCGATAAAGGTAACTCTTTGGAAACTTAGAGTAAAGAAGAATATAGAAATAGATTCAGTTGCTAGTGTTAGAACAAATTATGTTTTGTAAGACCCATCTAATACAGAACAGCCACAAATATTTTATAAATATCTTTTTTAATCCCTTAAAATTGTTTAAGACTATTATCTCTACGGTTGAAAATGAAGAAGAACCTAAAGACAGGAACAGCAAGTTTGAACTAACTGCCTAGCTTACTGAAGATTAAGATTTGTTGGTTCTTGTTTTACTAGAATAGGAAAGATAACAATGGAAATCAGAGATAAAGACTTAAGCTTTCTCAAGTTGGAGAGTTAGATCTTAGGCCTTCTCTCTGTTACATACAAAAAGTTGGACCTATAAGGAACCATAATTTCACTAAAAAAGTAAACAGGTAATACTCTTGAACACTGTTAGGTAATAGAAAACATATGTCTAGCTGGATTTTGGATCAGAGGAGGAAAGTCTTTTCTCTTAAGAAGTCATGTTATATCTGCCTCATGTAGGTTTGGAGGCCAAATACATCCTAGTGCTATAGTTTAGAAATCTTCTATGTCCCGCAGAATCCTCAGCTGATAATAACCTAGGATGTACTGCAGAAGTACATGCAGAACTACTTTGAAGGGACATACTATCAATACAGTATACTCATAGATAAAGCTGTGCTTAAGATGAGTTCACCATCCAAGATTATAAAACACGGGCCACTAGTAGGGTAGTTTACCTAATGCTTTAATGTAATTACGTATGAATTTATAAAATACATAATGAAGACAAAAGTAAGGAACTCAAGCATGAGAAAGACATCAAAATGAGCAGTCAGGTTTTTTAAAAATCAAAAGAACTTCTGGAAATATTAACGCATAGTAATTAAACAGTAGATGGATTATATAGATAATACTGCACAGCTGAAGAGGAAATTGAACAAAGACTGCATTTGTACTTCCACTTAATATTATTAAGTATTTGAATCCAAGTTACCGATGTGTGTATGTTTCTGGCATTGAAGATCAAACCCATACACCACCCCAAATTTGTTGTTTTTTTGTTTTGTTTTGGTAGTAACTCTTGTAAGAATGAAGCTTGTTTCTATTTACATGTACATAGAAGGTCTCTTCAGAAAGTGTCATCTCAAAGAATCTACAAATGAGGGTTGACTATTAAAATTGATATTTTAAAATTAATGTATGATTTTTTGAAAGGATAAACCAAGAGACATTTTTTTATTTCTTTTTAACGGTACCTTTTACAATCTATAGTTGGACAGTTCACTCTATTTATAACTTTATTTTTGTATCTCGAAATAATTTCTTTCCAGAGTAAAGAACAATAATAAATTCTTCTGGTTTTGTACTTTTTCCTTTTACCAACCTTGTTTAATATGTCTTGATTTTTCATTTTATATATTGTAGTACTGCAGTTAAAACACACACTAGAAGGGCACAATAAATTTATTAGAATATTTCTGTACAGTTTTAGAATTCAGATTGTGCTTCTGCTTACTGTCTAATTTAACAAATGACATGGCAAAGTAGAAGGGATACGGAACTAGAAACCCGACAGACTAGCTAGAAAACTTGGCTAGCTACCACTGCATGACCTTAACTTAAACTCTGGATTTTATTTCTTAATCTGATACATTTAGATTAGGTAAATGTAGCTGCTCTTGACCTTACTCCCTGATCAGAAACGGCATTTCACAGGGTGGGGAAAACATTTGTCTAGGAGTTGTTCTGTTCATTAGGATAGCCACTTTCTAGGTAATCAGTAGCTCCATGTGGCTTGATCGAGGTACCATGTTGGATAGCACAGATAAAGATTGTTCCCATCGTAAATAGTTTTGTTGAGTAGTACTCATCTAGAAAAAAAAGAAAGAATCAAAGACTGAAAGAAAGAAATTAAAAGAAAAGTATAACTACGTTGGAAAAGTTGACCAGTCCAGCAGACTGTCTGACAAAGATAATTTGCAACATGGTAATTGCTCTTTACCCTAAAATTTTCTTTCCTTTTGAATGAAATGTTTCTTAAACGGAAATCCACGCAGAGATGTTTATCTTAAAACTGGAATCAAAGATTGTTACTATTTTAGGATGAAAGAAACTTTAAAGTTAAGCCTAAGTCCCCTAAATTGCCTAAATACTAGCTAGTAATGTAACTATTTTCTAGAGGATGAAATACAACCTCAGGGTTATATTCAACCTGGGGGTTGATTTGGGTTAATAACTCTCCTTGTGTTTTAAAAATTCCAGCAGTTATTGAGGACTGTCAGCTAGTTACTCATATATAATGGTCATTTCCTTCTTAAATGTTTGTTTGTTTGGAAAAGGTCTCATTACACTGTCAGAGCTGACCTTCAACTCACTGTATAGCCTAGGCTGATCTCAAAGTTGAAACAGTTCTACTGCTTCAGCCTCCTGAGTGCTGAGATTACCGGCATGCACCACCACATTCCACTCTTAAATCTTAATTGAGATCTGCAAAGAAATTGAAGAGATTGTGTGGTGCATCTTTTTATTAATGGGATATATGTAGTGTTTCTTAAATACTTCGAAGTTAAAAAATAAACAATTGCAGTCTAAGAATGAGTCGTTCTACTGTGGTCAAATGTTGAGACTCACAACAGAGCAGATTTCTTAGTTAAGAGTTGCTGTAAAGTGTGGTCTGAGTAAATTTAAAAAATTGAGTTATCTTATTCACTTGTCTGTTTTGATATTCAAGTAGCAATGGTTAAGCAAAGCAGGAGGGGAGGAAGTTTCTAATCTCAGAAAGCAGAAAAAAGCATGTAAAAGTGAAAGGTATCAGGACAAATGAAAGAATGGGATATAAGGGAAACTATAGGTAGCTCAATTTGCCTGGCTGTTTGGTTGGAAGGGCAACAGGCTGGAACAAATGAGGAGAGGTCAGTATTGTTAAGCCCTTTTGTATTCTACTTTGTATTTGTGCAGATAACCATTTAAAGAATTTTAAAGGAGGTTAAGACACAATGTTATGAATAAATAAGGAATGGCTGAATGGAATGTCACATGTAGACTCGAAATCTACATGAGACCCTTGTATAACTTTGGGTCAGGGATACTAGGGAAGGGGATACCAAGACAGACTTTACTTTCATCAGAAGCTTGCCTAAAGCACTAAGGCTTTCTCTTACAAATTCATACAACCTAGCTTTCTGTAACCCAGAGTTTAACTGGAACTGTAAGTATTCTGTTGGATGATGCTATGACTTAAATAGATTTCTTAAAATAGGTTAATCATTCATTTAATCACATTGTAATGTAGAAAATTGCTATAATAGAGAAAATTCAAACTTGACTTCAAAAGCATACTGTGATGTCAGTCTGTGATTCAGTATTGGACTGCAGATTCAGTTTTTAGCGCATACATACAAAGATTAGAAAATCAGGAGAATTTTGATAATTTCTTTTGTTGGCATTATTTGTTCGGTTACAACATTAAAATGTTTTTGAAGCAAATTTATGAAAATTATTTGTCCTTAATAAGTTGAAATGAACCCTTGGATTCAGGATTGGAAATATCTCTGGGATGCTCCTCTAAATAATTTAGTCATGTTTTATAAATTTTTTAATCCTTTGTCATTTCTAGAGAAAATGTATCACTGAAGGAAGCTGTTTTCCCCAAGGCACATCCTTCTTCCAGAAATTCTCTGATCTTTGAATCCTTTGTTAAAGTTCTTTCATCTTTGTTTTCTGAAATTTCAGACTAATCACAGCCTTTCCCAGAATTCTCACCCTTTATACGGTAGAGATACCTACCATTTCTTACTGAAATTCCTTCATTATGGTTGCATATCACCTTTGTAGTTGGCTTGGTCTCTGATTCCTGTAAAACTTTCTTGGGCCACTGCTTTCTTGTATGCTTTCTCTCATACGCAGCTTCACTTACCACACGTGCCTTTTGTGTCATAACAGAGGAGTAACTGCATAGTTTGTGTGAAAACTAGAGAGGTTCACGTGGTCTCACTCTTCTTCGGTCTTTCTTCCCTATTGGTTAATTTTTCCCTGCCTTATATATTTTCTTCTTCACCTTTGTGCCCTTTCTTTCCCTAAAACCAAGACTAGTTCAGTATCTAGCTGCCTTCTCTCCCTTTTCTTTTAGTCCGCAGATCTAATCTTCTGCTTTCATATAATATATTGTTTCCTTTTTGCCTGTGAAAGTACATACAATATTGGTTTTCTTTACTTTTTTACTTTTTTTTTTTTTGATCCTGTATCACAAATATTCCATTCCAATAAATGTGGCCACATTCCATGACTGGCTTATTTCTCATATATCTCATATATCCATCTTCTGTTTTATTCTTTAAAGAAAGAATAAAAACTTTCTTTTATCTCTTCATGTATCTTTCAAATGACTCTTATCTTCATTACTACTGTCTAACAAGGATTCAGCTTGCAAGTCCAGAAGAAAATTCTGTTTATTAGCTGTATATCTCTTCTTACCCCTAATTCTTAAGCTGGTCTATCTTAAGTATTATAAAGTAAAGGACTGAAATTCTGAAATATGTAAAGTCCTCACTATGAAATGGCAAGTAAATTGTTTTGCTAGAAGTGAAAGTCTTTCACTAATAACAAGTTAGAGAATCAGAAAACATTCCCATTTTGTAATTGGGTCAGGAGGGTTGTATTTTGAAAAGATTGTAAGTACATACTAGGAAGATTTATGATAAACATTTATTGATCCCTTATGGGTCAAACATAACCATGTTAAATACTTTAAAATTTTAATCTGTCTTAATCCTCACAACAGCAGTTTCACTCAAAGTACTGTTTTGTCCTCTGCTTTATAAATGATTTATGAAAAATCAAAGACATTGAATAACTTCCATGTTTGCCTAGATTAGATGACTTCATGCCCAGGTCTTTTCTTAGTTTCTTTATGGGATTTTTTTTTCCTGCCACTCTATGTAGTTCACTTCACAGATAAACTTTAGAGTAAGCTGCAGAGCTTTAGAAGTGCCATCTTTTCATATGTCACTATTGTGTAGAATCTGAGAAAAGCACATTTGGTTTATAAAAACTGGGTTCCAAAGTAAATCTTTGTAGATCAGCATAATAAACTAGTGTAGATTAACATTTCCTGTTTGCTTTTTCACAGACTGAAGGGGCTGGACTTGCTACCTGTATAGAATTATGTGTAAAAGCTCTTCGCTTGGATGCCACAGAAAATACCGAAGTGAAAATTTCTATTTGCAAGACCATTTCATGTTTGTTACCTGATGATCTGGAAGTTAAACGAGCTTGTCAACTGAGTGAATTTCTTATTGAGCCTACAGTAGATGCATATTATGCTGTGGAAATTCTGTATAACCAGCCAGACCAGAAATACGATGAAGAGAATCTTCCAATACCAAATTCTCTACGCTGTGAGCTCCTCCTTGTTCTGAAAACTCAGTGGCCTTTTGATCCAGAATTTTGGGATTGGAAAACCTTAAAACGACAGTGTCTTGCACTAATGGGAGAAGAAGCATCCATTGTGTCTTCAATTGATGAATTAAATGACAGTGAAGTATATGAAAAAGTAGTAGACTACCAGGAAGGAAGTAAAGAACCTTCTGTGAATGGACTTTCTGGTGCAGTTAGTGCTAACTCTGGCTTCCTTAAAGATATCAGTGATGAAAAGCAAAAGAAGAAGGAGATAAAACAATTGAGAGAGAGAGGATTTATATCTGCTAGGTTTAGGAATTGGCAAGCATACATGCAGTACTGTGTACTATGTGACAAAGAATTCCTTGGCCACAGAATAGTACGACATGCCCAGAAACATTATAAAGATGGGATTTACAGTTGCCCCATATGTGCAAAAAATTTCAATTCTAAAGAAACTTTTGTCCCTCATGTCACATTGCATGTTAAACAATCTAGTAAAGAAAGATTAGCAGCTATGAAACCATTAAGAAGATTAGGAAGGCCTCCTAAGATCACAACTACCCATGAAAATCAAAAGACTAATACGGTAACTAAGCAGGAACAACGACCTATTAAAAAGAATAGTCTCTATTCAACAGATTTCATAGTATTTAATGACAATGATGGTTCAGATGATGAGAACGATGACAAAGATAAATCTTATGAGCCCGAAGTGATCCCCGTCCAGAAGCCAGTACCCGTGAATGAATTTAATTGCCCTGTAACTTTTTGTAAAAAGGGCTTTAAGTACTTTAAAAATTTAATTGCTCATGTAAAGGGGCATAAGGATAATGAAGATGCCAAACGCTTTCTTGAAATGCAAAGCAAAAAAGTTATTTGCCAGTACTGTAGACGACATTTTGTAAGTGTCACTCATCTCAACGATCACTTACAAATGCACTGTGGCAGTAAACCATATATCTGTATACAGATGAAATGTAAGGCTGGTTTTAATAGTTACGCAGAGCTTTTAACCCATCGAAAGGAGCATCAGGTCTTCAGAGCAAAATGCATGTTTCCTAAATGTGGCAGAATTTTTTCAGAAGCTTATTTACTATATGATCATGAAGCACAACATTATAATACCTACACTTGTAAGTTCACAGGTTGCGGTAAAGTTTATCGTTCTCAGAGTGAGCTGGAAAAGCATCTCGATGATCACAATACTCCTGAAAGTGTCATGCCTCCTGAAGACCATCTTATTTCATCTGGAGAGACTGTCCAGCTTTCTATAGCGAATCAGAACACTGGAGAGAATAGTGAGAAAGAAAGACTTACGCTTCCTTCAGAAAATAATATGGAAAACAGCATAACAGCAGACAAAAGTGATGCCTGGGATAAAAGCAAATCAGAGCCAGCTGTGACCAAACAAGATCAGATTTCTGCCTCTGAGCTCAGGCAGGCTAATGGATCATTGTCAAATGGTTTAGAAACCCCTGCTACCACCACCACTACTACTACTACTCTTCAGTCCAGTGAAGTAGCTGTGTGTATCAAGGTGTCTCTCAATCAGAGGATTGAAGATAACTTTGGAAAGCAAGAAAATTCAACTGTGGAAGGTGCTGGTCAGCCACTGGCCAGTAATGTAAATACACCAGTTGAAGACACTTGTAATGATGTGTGTCATGCAGATTTCCAAGAGAAAAAGGAACAGGATTGCTTTAATGAAGCCAAGATTTCTCAGAATTCTTTAGTAAATTCAGAAACTCTCAAAATAGATGACCTTAACCCACAAAACTTAGAAAGACAAGTGAACAGTCTGATGACCTTTTCTGTGCAAAATGAGACAGAATTTCAAAACAGTGTACCAGCTTCCAAGTTTGAGTGCGGAGATAATGCTAAAGCATCATCCAGTCTTTATAACTTACCTCTAAAGACATTAGAAAGTATCACGTTTGTTCCTTCCCAGCCCAACCTAAGTAGTTCATTAGGAACTCCATCAGTGCCTCCAAAAGCTCCAACTCAGAAATTCAGCTGCCAAGTTGAGGGATGTACTCGAACTTACAATTCTTCACAGAGTATTGGGAAACACATGAAGACAGCACACCCTGATCAGTATGCTGCATTTAAGGTACAGCGCAAAAGTAAAAAGGATCAGAAATCTAACAACTTAAATACACCAAATAATGCAAAATTGGTTTATTTTTTGCCATCACAGGTGAGCAGCTCTAATAATGCATTTTTTACACCACAGACCAAAGCCAATGGGAATCCTGCTTGTTCAGCCCAGTTGCAGCATGTCTCGCCTTCCATATTCCCAGCTCATTTAGCAAGTGTGTCAACTCCATTGTTGCCCTCAATGGATACTGTCATAACTTCAAATATACCTTCTCAGGATAAAAATGAACAAGGTAGTATGTTATGTTCTCAAATAGAAAATTTACCTAATACTACCTTGCCTGCACAAATGGAAGATATAACCAAAACAGTTTTGCCTTTGAATATTGACAGTGGCTCAGATCCTTTCCTTCCTTTACCTGCAGAAAGTAATTCAATGTCTCTGTTCCCTTCACCAGCAGATAATGGGACTAATTCTGTTTTTTCCCAACTGGAAAATAGTACAAATCATTATTCCTCACAGATTGAAGGAAACACTAATTCTTCCTTTTTAAAGGGAAATAATGGGGAAAATGCAGTTTTTCCTTCCCAAGTGAATGTTGCAAATGATTTCAGTAGCACCAGTGCCCAAGAGTCCACCCCTGAAAAAGTAAAAAAAGACCGTGGGCGGGGCCCAAATGGGAAGGAAAGAAAACCCAAGCACAACAAAAGGGCTAAATGGCCTGCAATTATCAGAGATGGGAAATTTATCTGTAGCAGGTGTTACAGGGCTTTTTCTAATCCCCGATCGCTGGGTGGACACTTATCTAAGCGATCTTACTGTAAACCACTGGATGGGGCAGAAATTGCTCAAGAACTTTTACAAAACAATGGACAGCCTTCTCTTCTTGCCAGTATGATTCTCTCCACAAATGCAGTAAATTTGCAGCAACCACAACAGTCTACCTTCAACCCAGAAGTATGTTTTAAAGATCCATCATTCCTGCAGCTTCTTGCTGCTGAAAATCGGCCATCAACGTTTTTATCAAATATGTTTCCTCGGTCTGGTGTGAATAACTTTAGTAGCAGTGTTAGTCAAGAAGGAAGTGAAATTATCAAGCAGGCTTTGGAAACTGCTGGCATTCCCAGTACTTTTGAGGGTGCTGAAATGCTTTCTCAGGTTGTTCCCACAGGTTGTGTCTCAGATACAGCACAAGTAAATTCAACAGTGCTGCCAAATCCAACTGTTTCATCTTTGTTGCAGACTGTATGTCACTCAGATACCCTGTTAACAAATCAGAGTAGGACATCAAATTCTAAAACTTCCACCATTGAGAAATGTAGCAGTTTGCCTGTTTTTCCAACAAATGACTTACTACTGAAAACTGTTGAAAATGGTTTGTGCACTTCTTCATTCACTAACTCTACTGGGCTATCACAAAATTTTACCAGTAACAGTCCACGTGTTTCTGTTATAAGTGGTCCTCAGAATGCAAGATCCAATCATTTAAATAAAAAGGGAAACAGTGCTTCTAAGAGAAGAAAGAAAGTTACTCCTCTACTAATTGCACCTAATGCATCCCAAAACGTGGTACCAACCGACTTAACAAAAATTGAACTTGTAACAAAAAGTATTGAGATTCCCACTACTAACTTTCATTCAAACGTAATTCCAAATTGTGAGCCTCAGAGTTTGGTGGAAAATCTAACACAGAAATTAAATAATGTTGACAATCAGTTGTTTATGACTGATGTAAAAGAGAACTTCAAAACCAATCTTGAGTCCCATGCAGTGTTACCATCTTTAACTTTAAAAACTGAAAATGGTGATTCCCAAATGATGGCTTTGAATTCATGTACAACTTCAGTAAATTCTGATTTGCAAATTTCTGAAGACAATGTTATACAGAACTTTGAGAAGACTCTTGAAATTATTAAAACTGCTATGAATTCTCAGATACTTGAGGTAAAAAGTGGATCTCAGGGTGCTGTTGAAACATCACAGAATACTCAGATAAATTACAATGTTCAGCTTCCTTCAGGAAACTCTGTTCAAAATAACAAATTACCTGAATCATCTCAGTTTTCCTCTTTCTTAAGTGTCATGCCAACAAAAAGTAACCTTCCTCAGCCTGAAGTATTACATAAGGAAGATCAACTACAAGAAATTTTAGAAGGTTTACAAAAATTAAAATTAGAAAATGATCTATCCCCTCCATTGTCCCAGTGTATACTAATAAATACATCAGTGACACTGACTCCTACTCCTGTTAAACCACTTTCAAATGTCACAGTTGTTCAACCAGTTTCTGAAATAGTACATGTTCAGTTTAGTGACAAAGTTAATAAACCCTTTGTGTGTCAGAACCAAGGCTGTAACTACAGTGCTATGACAAAGGATGCACTATTTAAGCACTATGGTAAAATCCACCAGTATACTCCAGAAATGATTCTTGAAATTAAGAAGAATCAGTTGAAATTTGCTCCATTTAAATGTGTGGTACCTACATGCACAAAAACATTTACAAGAAATTCTAATCTCCGTGCACACTGTCAGCTGGTGCATCATTTTACAACAGAAGAAATGGTGAAGTTAAAAATCAAAAGGCCTTATGGAAGAAAGTCTCAGAATGAAAGTTTATCAACCCCACGAATTACACAAGTGAAAAAGCAGCCAGCTATGACAGAGGACAATAAAAGGGAATTACACTCCACTTTGCATTTGAGAGCAGAGACAGAAAATCCCCTCCATAATGTAGCAGTGATACCAGAAAAACAGCTTTTGGAAAAAAAAAGTCCTGAAAAATCTGAAAGTTCACAGCTGATTGTAGTTAATTCTGAACAGTGCAATACAGATTCTCCCACAGATACTCAAAATAAAGGACGAAAAATTAAGAGGCATAAAAAAGAAAAAGAGGAAAAAAAACGAAAGAAGCCAGTTTCCCAGTCTCTTGAATTTCCAACAAGATACAGTCCCTATAGACCGTACCGTTGTGTTCACCAGGGGTGCTTTGCTGCTTTTACAATACAGCAAAACCTAATTCTTCACTATCAGGCTGTGCACAAATCAGATCTTCCTGCATTTTCTGCAGAGGTTGAAGAGGAGAGTGAAACTGGGAAAGAAAGTGAGGAAGCTGAAACTAAACAAACAATGAAAGAGTTTCGGTGTCAGGTGAGTGACTGTTCTCGAATTTTCCAAGCAATTACTGGGCTAATACAACACTACATGAAACTTCATGAAATGACTCCTGAAGAAATAGAAAGTATGACAGCTTCTGTGGATGTTGGCAAATTTCCATGTGACCAATTGGAATGTAAATCTTCATTTACAACGTATTTGAACTACGTTGTTCATCTTGAAGCAGACCATGGGCTTGGAGCAAGAGCAAATAAAACAGAAGAAGATGGTGTATACAAATGTGATTGTGAAGGTTGTGACCGGATATATGCTACGCGATCTAATCTCCTCCGACACATTTTCAATAAGCATAATGACAAACATAAAGCTCATTTGATTCGGCCAAGAAAATTAACACCTGGCCAGGAAAATATGTCAAGCAAGGCAAACCAAGAAAAGTCAAAATGTAAACTACGAGGAACAAAACACAGATCTGGAAAGGAAGGAATCAAAATGCCAAAGACCAAACGAAAGAAGAAGAGTAATTTAGAAAACAAGAATGCAAAAATTATACAGATTGAAGAAAACAAGCCTTACTCTCTGAAACGAGGAAAACACGTATATTCTATAAAGGCGAGAAATGATGCCTTGTCTGAATGTACAAGTAGATTTGTAACCCAGTATCCGTGTATGATAAAGGGGTGTACGTCAGTTGTTACAAGTGAAAGCAATATAATTAGACATTACAAATGCCATAAGTTATCTAAGGCATTTACATCACAACATCGCAATCTTCTTATTTTCAAACGGTGTGATAACACAGAAGTAAAGGAAACATCTGAGCAAGGAGGTGACAAAAATGATGTGAAAGGTTCTGATACATGCCTACCAGAGAACAGTGATAACTTGAGAACCACTACTTTGCCACAGAAGGAACTTGAAAAAAATGAGAAAGATGAAATGGATGAGCTAACAGAATTATTTATTACAAAATTAATAAATGAAGATAGCACAATTGTGGAAACCCAAGCAAATACCTCTTCCAATGTAAACAGTGATTGTCAGGAAAGTAACCCCTGCCAGTCAGAAAAGCAAAAAGCAAGTAGTTTGAAGAGAGTTATTAAAGAAAAAAACCTCTCACAAAATAAAAAAAGGAAAGTTGAAAAGTCTGAACCAGAATTAGCAGTAGAAACAAATAGCTTGCATAAAGAAGAAGAAACTGCTGTTGCAATTCAAACCACTGAGGAGCATCCTGCATCTTTTGACTGGAGTTCATTTAAACCAATGGGATTTGAAGCATCATTTCTGAAGTTCCTTGAGGAGTCTGCAGTGAAGCAGAAAAAAAATACTGATAAGGACCACCCAAATAGTGGAACTAAAAGAGGATCACATTCAAATTCAAGAAAAAATACTGATAAGACTTCTGTGACTAGTGGAAATCATATATGTTCCTCTAAAGAAAGTGAAATTTTTGTACAGTTTGCCAATCCATCACAGCTTCAGTGCAGTGGTAATGTAAAAATTGTTTTAGACAAGACTCTTAAAGATTGCACTGAGCTTGTCTTAAAACAACTTCAGGAAATGAAACCTACCGTCAGTCTGAAAAAACTTGAAGTACATTCAAATGATCCAGATAATGTCTGCTGTGAAAGAAATCAGTATAAGTAAAGCCACGGGCAGAGGGCAGTACTGATAAGTGTACTATAAATACATCATTTATAGTTTTATTTTAAGTAGGAAGCCATCAAGCATGCTGTAATTGTGAAACTTTTATATTTTTTGTTGACATGAATTAACCTGGCCAAAAAAAAAAAAAAAAAAATCATGACATTTGTCATGTAGAACTTTTTATCCCTATGGGACTTGAAGACTAGAATTAGTACTTCAGTTATTGTAAACATTTGAGTTAAACCTCAAATTTTTATCACTCAATTGCCCTTTTCATGAATTACTCAATTATCTGTGTGATTGGTATGTTTCACCAGGTCACTGCTTGTGTATAACAGTACTCTTTATTTGTAGATACTGTTTTGTATATATTTATTATTGTAAATCATTTGCTGCCACCAGCAGTCTGTAAGTCTAAACTATTAAATGATACATTTATATTTGGAATTTTAATTTTTAACTAATTGATCAAATTTTTAAAACTTCTTTTATTGTTTTAAATTATGAACTTTTTGAACTAAAACTAGAAACTGCCATAGTTTATGATTTTTACATGAAACATTTATTTACAAGATGATCTCAAGACTGTTTCACAGCATAGGCACATGGAATCAACATTGCTTTGTAAATTTGCCATTTTGGATTTTTGGGTGGTATATCCATGTAAAGTTAAATCAGATTCTTCAGTAGTTTCCTATAGCTACAGGACACCTGCCCCCCGCCATTGCTTCTAGTTGGATATAGTTATTTCGAGTCCATGAAATATAATGGAAATGTGAATAAAAGTTTAATACATTGAAGATTTTAAACATTGGTATTTTAAGAAACCCTTTGTGAATGTGATAGAAATTAGTGGTGTGGAGCAGTGTAAATATTGAGGTGGTGATTTGTGAAGTAGCCCAGTATTGCCTTAAATAAAACCACATTTCATTCTTGTTTTATACACGTGATCTTATAAAGGTTCCCCCCCATTTTCTCAGATTTATAGATTGGTGTATAGCTTTAAACTGTAAAAACTTTTGTGAAAAGAATTTTTTAAACATTTTTATAAATCTTTAAAAAATTATCATTAAAGTGAGCCCATCTTGTGTTTATAAAATACAAGAATTTTAACATTTATAGTTAGATGAAACACTTTCTATAAGGAAGTTGGATGTTTTGATTTTACTATTTATAGATATTAGACTGTACAGCTACATCTGTATTTTCTCACCATATCTAATGATACTCTTCATTAGATCAGTCTTCAAGAGCAGTATTAGTTATTATAATTGATTATTTTGATTATTCAGTATATAGTTAGCTCTTACGATTTATTCACCATATTTATACCGTGGGTTCACAGTTAGAAGCAGAGTTTATATCAGTAGAGTTCATGGCCTCTTAATGTCTAAAGTCAGTTCTAGAAACAGAAGAAACCATCTTTTCAATATTTACACTTTTGTTTGCCATAACATAAGTTCAATGTACTTTTTATATTGTGTTATAGTTACTCCACAATATTATTAGTGTGGGATATTGATGATATTGTGATGATAGAAAGATGTGTATATTCCCTGTGCAGCAGTATCAGATTTGCAGAAGAAATGAAGCACTTAACAGAAATTGCTGGTACTCTTAATAAATAAGCATGGTCAAGGAATGATCTATTTTCTTTGGAAAATATTTTTTTAAGTTTTACTATTAAATACAGTTTTTATTTTTAGGGCTCAGTGGGTTATACTGAATAGTTGGTTTCACTTTAAGGTTTATTACCAGTATGCATAAAACTTGACATTAAAATCCCTACCATTTGGCAAGCCCACTGTTATTTATTACAATAAAAGTTGTTTTATGGATGATTAATACATGTTTTTTCTAAACAATAATTTAAATCAGTATTTTAGAATTTTTTTGTTAACTGAATGTTTTTGTACAATTTTCTTAGAACTTGATCTGTCTGTTAAAGATGGGCATTTAGCAAAACTGCCTGATGTAGCAAAGTTTATTTCTGACCACTGTAATAATGAATCACTGTTAAGTGAAGATGCCAATGTTTTAGGGCTTTTCCTTTGCTTATTAGCTTAAGAAGGTTGACCACTAGACAGTTCTATAATTGATGTCCTACATTTTAGTGGCATTTGCCACCATTGAGTGAACTACTTTTTATTCCAAGTACTGTATGCAAAAAGTAATTATGCAAAAGTGAGCTTCTTAGCATGGATTTTTCTTAGCAGAAAAATCAAATTACAGTATAAAATAATGAATTTATACAATAGCATGTTGGTAAAATTTAATATGGAATGTAATGCCTAAGTATTAAAAAAAAAACTCCATGTGTTTTTTCATGGTACAGTTTTCCTCAATCTATTGTCTTTGAGATAATTTCTTCTGCAATACGTGTTAGTCTGAGATATTGCCCAAGATTTCCTCACTTAAAAATTGATTTGCTTCTATACTCAAAGTATTTTAAAATTACAGTTCAGAACTGTGTTGGGAGAATAAATCATCTTAAATGTCACAGCTTGGAAGTTTGATTGTTAAATACAAAATTTTTTTAAAAGGCTAGACATATATACATTTTTATCCTCCTCCAAAAAGTGGCTACTACATGCATTTAGGTAGAACAGTTAAATGAGGTAATAGTTGGCACCATGTTAAATGATTGGGAGATTGGACATTGGTTGCAGGGAACCTAGAAATGGACCCCCCCCCAAATGGGAGTCAGAGAAAAGCGAGATTAATAAGGTTGAAAGGAAGAAAAAACTGATGTTTACAAGAAATGCTAAAGAATGGTGTAGGGCAGCCTTTTTCCAAGTGATTGAACTGAGATTCTAAAGGTAAGTAAGGTGAATTATATGACCAGAGTAAGTATCTAAAGTACATGTTACACTTCCCTCGGAGAATCCAGTGCACATTAACATTAGATACTGCGAAGACTGCTAATGAAAACATGGGAACTACTAAAGTGAGATGTTCCAGATTTAATTGACCATGAACACATTTTTCTGATAATATTATGTATGTTCTGCTGAATAATATCTTGAGGAACAGAATTTGGGAAGTGCTAATCTAAAATGTCATTCATTCAGCCAGGACTAGTATCAACATGTATGCACAATTCAGCTGTATCAGCTGTTTTAAAATGTTGATTTTTTTAGTTGGTCTCTTTGTCCAGTCATTTGATTTGATTTCTATACTGTACTAGTTGTTAATGCTTTGCATATCACCCCTTATTCAATAATACTTACCAAATGTCAACTAAGTGCACTTTGTTGAAAATCCATTCTTCTTACTTGCTCAATTCCTGCTGCCTGTTCCAGGTACTCTCTTCCTACTTCACGTTTCCTGCTGTTTGACATTTCACTGCACACACACTAAGCTGCTGCCCCTCCTCCGAAAGTATTCGCACCTATACCATGTCTGGCTGGAATGCTTACCTCTTGTTTTTATGACTTCTTGTCCATCTGTTAGGAAATGTCATCAGATGCCCAGGTCACTCTAAAATAAAATGATACCTATGCCCATTTTTGTAAGTGTTTATATTTGTTAATTGCCTGTTCTCTGTTTCTTCCATTACTACCACTCGATGAAGAAAATGAGACTGAGTTTTCTTCAGTGACCTTGCTCATTAGAAATGCCTCTCTCATTTTATGGAAGTAAGATAAAAATTTCATAACAAAATGATAAAAGCTAGTACATTCATTGCTCAGGGTACAAGATACAGTCATAAAAACTTTTCCAATGGGTATTGGCACAAACCTTTTTGATAAACTGAGACACGTATAAATGACGTGCAGTTTCTCTCTTTCTCCTACTGGCCTTTCATCCATCCTGGTTCCTTTTGAATAATTTCTTCCCATTTTACAATATTGATTGTACATTTTAGAACTTACGTTTCCCACACAGGGAGACAATGCAGTGTGTACACATGTGAATCTGATATATATATGAGTATGGTCTCAAGTTGCATCCACTTAACCTGTAAGTCCCCATTTTATCCTTCTTTATAACTGGGTAGTACTCCATTGTATAAAATACAATTTTTTAAACTATTCCTCAGTTGATGGGCATTTATGTTTTCAAAATTTAGCTATTAGAAATTGTGCTGTTAGGGGCTGGGGATTTAGCTCAGCAGCATAAGCGTCTGCCTTGCAAGCAGGCAGTCCTGAGTTCGATCCCTGGTACTGATAAAAAGGAAAAAGACAAAAAAAAAAAAAAAAAAAAAAAAAAAGAAATTGTGCTGTTAGGTACACATATATCGCTGTGGTATGATTTTAGTTCTTGTGGGAATATTCCCATAGTGGGATTAGCCGGGGGGGGGGGGAGAATGGGGCCTCTAGTCCTAGGTTTGTGAGGAATCTCCACGCTGACTTCTGCAGTGGTTACACCAGTCTGCACTCAAACCAACAGCAGAAAAGATTTCCTTTTCCCTCACAGCCCTTCCATCGTTGGTTCCTGGTTGGTATGTTGATAGGCTTTCTGTCTGAGGGGAGGTGGAATCTCGATTTTGTTTTAATTTGCATCTCTTGAATGTTGTGATGTTGAACATGTTTTCATATATCTGCCATTTGTATTCATTTGAGTAATGTATTCATCTCAGATACCCATTTATAGATTGGCTCTTTGAATTTGGCAGGGGATCTGATATTTTTCAATTATTTTTGTGTTCTAGATAGAAGTCTTTTGTCTAAGGGACAATTGGCTAAAATTTTTTCCCGCTCTGTGTTGTCTTTCACTTTGTTGGTGATTTGTTTTGCCATGCAAAAGCTTTTTATTAAGATGACATCCCTGTTGATTCTTTGAAGTATTCTGGGTTTTGTTCATGAACTCTGTGCCTGCACCTATGTCTTTAAGATTTCTACCTGCTTTCTCGTCCAGTAGATTTACTGTTTCTGTTTTTAATATTTAGATTTTTGATCCATTTTGACTTTAGTGCATGGTGTGATGGACATGGGTCTAGTTTTAGTTTGGGGCATATAAAGAGCCAATTTTTCTAGTATAATTTATTAAAGAGGCTATCTTACAATGAACATGTTTCCCTCTTATTTTAATGACATGTTCTTCCAGAAATGGGACCTTACACCTGACCATAATCAAAACTTTGACTTCAGATTCCCTTCAACCACATACTTCTATTTTGCCTGTTCATGATATCTTCACTAAAATATTGTGCCTCAACACAGCTACCACCCGCTGATTCTTCTCATTCATGTCTTTGGCTTGTTTGCCTTAAAAGACCAGGTCTCATTGATACACATACGTTGTTTTAAATATATTCAAATCAGGAACCCTTTCCTTCTGTCAGAATCTTGTTGGAAAATTTGAAAAAATATCTTAGCAATTGCGTGAAAAAAATTACTCCAATAGTAGATTGGGGGGCTGGGGTTTTAGCTCAGTGGCATAAGCGCCTGCCTTGCAAGCAGGCAGTTGTGAGTTCGATCCCTGGTACGGATAAAAAGGAAAAAGACAAAAAAAAAAAAAAAAAAACCAATAGTAGATTGATGCTGCTGACCTCAAAACAAATGCACCAAAAACAGCCTGGCATTTTTTTCCTATTTTAGCTTGTTGCCACAATTTAAATGGCCTATATTTCACTTTTTTGCAGTATCTTTTAATTACAGTGATACTGAGAAAATTTTTAAATTTAACAGTACTGAACCTTTTTTGTTTTTTAGCCATCGCATTATAAACTTGTATGTATCTGTACTCTTGTTATTTACCAGCAACTGTTTTCTGATTTGTATCTACTTCACATGTCTTAACTTTCAAAACTATGGTTTTAATGAACCTTTCTCTTACTAGATCATTTTGAAATATTTACAGATAGGTCCTAGTAGCTAGTTTTGAAAAAGACATATTTCATCGAGCACTGAACATTATTTGTTACCATTCACAGCTAATCTGATAATCCATTTCCTCATATAAACTTACAGAATTTCTCTTACCATTATTTGCATCCTCTTTGTTGCCGTATCTACAGGTTCTTTTGTTCCTCAGGAAATTCAGTGTAGTTGATGGCTTTCTTCTTGAAAAAATTCTTTCTCTCAGGTTTCTTAATGTACTTTTTGTTTTTATTTTTTTATACTGGGATCGAACTCATGACCTCACACTTGCAAGGCAGGTGCTTATGCCGCTGAGATAAATCCCTGGCTTGATGTATTTTCTTTGTTGGCTGCTCCCTGCCGTTCCAGCTCTGGTTTATCTCACAGTGACCTCTGGATCACTGTGTCTGTTTGTATTACCTTTGGAGTACTTGGTACCTTATGCAGTTTAGTTTTTTCATTTTGTCACTACAATTTATAATGCCAAACTTTGTAGTTGTACACACAACCACCTACCTCAGGGTTAAGGATATTGCACTCAAATCATTATTTCTTTACCCTCCCTTCAATGTTTTTCTCTCCCAATATTCTTTATCTGAGAAAATGAAGTCTGTGTGTTTCTCCAGCTAGGCTCGCCGGTGTTGTCATAACCACCCCACGAAGAGGAAGGAATCTTTCTGCTTCTCTCCATGTTGTAAGACTCGTCCAGTCACCATCACCTGTTTTTCATACACTACAATCTCCCTACCGACTTCAGAATATTCCCCAAGCCGTTTGACCCTTTTCATTTTTAAAAAAACTTAGGTCTTACTGTATTGTAATTTTCGAAGGGGAAAGAAACCTTTAATTTTTACACTGCACTTTGAATGGGATTTTTTAGTTGTGGTTCATTCCAGTCATAAACACTTGCTATTTTCTTCACGTGTCCATTGTGTCCTAGTTACATTGGCCTTTTTAGAGGTCTCCTGACCAGCCAGAGTAGGTGTATTTTCTCCCTGGAAGGTCTACTTGCTATTTTTACTGTCAAAACTTAATTCTATAAGTACTAGATTTTGTGGCCCATAATTGATTGTTTCTGTTAAAACAGCTTTTTTCATGGCATGTATCACAACTTGTAATTGGTTTTTTCTTGTTATATAGTTTTTGCCCCCTCTGAACTATAGGCTGCACAAGGGCAAAATCTTTTATATGTTAGGTTTTTACCAGTCTGTGTCCGGTGTCTTAATATCTTGAGTTTAGTGATTTGGCAATGTCAAATGTTTAATCAATACTTAAATAAGTTGTAAAATATGGGATTCTGACTTATTGAGCTATAACACTATTATGCCTAGAAAAAGTGGTACAGGATACTGCAAGAATATAAAGTAGAACTGTGATACCAAATAGTTTACACTGAGGAAAAGTAGTTAATAAAGACTTAACGAAGGTGAAGTTAGGTGAGAGAATAGACCAAGAGGAAAGCATGTGTAACAGCTGATAGGAGTGGCTTTGTTGCTAAGGATAGAGCTTAAAAGTCATTGGGAAAAGTAAGCAAGGGTGAGGTCACAGTGTCTTTGACCTGTTTATATTAATTTTGCTGAGCTATGAATTCACACTGGGTTTTAATCAGGAGTGAGATGTTCATGTTTTGAAGTTTCACTCTGGTGAAGTATGTCCTTGGGGAATTCAAAAAACCCTATTAGAAATTTTGTACATTTCATTCAAGGAAGAGAAGACAGTGGCTTGAAGTGGTGTGGTGCTGGCGGTGAGAGCAGTAGATGGACTTGGCAGGTCTAGAATATTTTACAAGAATTGATCATTGTAGGTTATAAGAAAGAAGAGGGGAAATTTAGAGAAAATTTGAGGGATTTGGTTTGAATTAACAGTTGAAAAAGCAGGTTGGTGGTGTATCTTGTAAACTCAATTGTTCAGGTAGCTGATGCAGGGGTATCAAATTTGAGGCCAGTCTGGACAGCTTAGCAAGACTTCCAAAAAGGGGTAGGATATATTTCATTGCTACAGTCCTTTGTGGAGTGCATGAGGCCTTTGGTTCAGTCTGCAGTACTGAGTAAGGGGAGGGGACTGAAGTACCATCTAGGAAGTAAGATTAGAAAAGGATTTTTTTTGTCTTTTTGTTTTTAATCGGTACCAGAGATGGAACTCACAACCACACACTTGCAAGGCAGGTGCTTATGCTGCTGAGCTAAATCCCCAGCCCCAGATTAGAAGAGTTATATAAATGTCTAGGGATACAAAAGGATGGAGGGCTGAAATTTTAACAGGAAAGCCATACGAAGAGAATAGTATTTAAAGAAGGTATATAAAAGTTGTCACATTTACTGAGATATGGTAAAGATTTTAAAGTGTGGGTACTTAATGATTAATCAGTGACTTTAATGTTAGTAGACATTTGGAAGTAGATTGGAAGAGTGTAAATACTCAGTATGAAGAAGAGAAGACCGGGAGGTGTCATGGGTTACAATCAAAGTTCTTAAAAGTGATAGCACCATAAGGCATCCTAAAGTGCCAATGGGAAGGATTTGGTAGGTTAAGATGTGTTAAGTAACATTTAAAGTTCCTGTTGGGTTATTATGAATGGTACTGGTGTATTCCAAGACAATATGGAAGGAATTAAGAGGTTCATGTTGAATTTGAGGTTCTTATAGATGATCAAGGTGGAGAGAGATTTTTTTTTTTTCCATTTTTATCGGTACCGGGGATCA